CCGCCTCCCAAAAAGTCTCCGCCGCCTCCCTCCCCCAAGCCATCCCCGCCGCCTCCCACAAAGTCTCCACCGCCTCCCTCTCCAAAGCTTTCACCCCCGCCTCCCGCCAAGAAGCCGCCACCACCCTCGCCTCCCGCCAAGAAGCCGCCGCCGCCCTCACCTAGGCGATCACCACCTCCCCCAAGCAGGAAGCCACCACCCCCCTCTAACAAGCCGTCACCTCCGCCGCCTGTCAAGAAGCCGCCACCCCCTTCTCACAAGCCGTCACCTCCGCCTCCGACCAAGAGGTTGCCTCCAGCCCATAAATTCCCCCCCCCACCTTCAAGGAAGAAGCTGCCTGTGCCATCTGCAAGGAGATCCCCGCCACCTCCCCAGGCAGGCTCGTCGCCTCCTCCAGCAAGGAGATCGTCCCCCAATTCTATATGAGGCACCTTTAATGCTCCAGCAGATGTATTTTGTATACTTCCACTTTGAGGGGCCCTTCCCCAGCCCATGGGTCGAACACCAATAGTAGAATCACAGTGTTGCATCTTCTTGAGTCTGACAGCCGCTTCCGCACCTGAAACCTGTCACCCGTGGAGTCTCACCGTGCCTTGCACCCACCATTCGTTCGAATTTTCTACCTTGGCGCTGGACAGGGTGGCCCCGTCACTTGTGAGGCTTGCCCATCAGCACTACTGTCATTGCCCAGGAAGAGGAAGGTGTGATTTCCTATGAACGGCACACCTCCAGAGCAGGCACGACCATACTGGTCTTCTTCATGGGACTGATCCCGATGCTGTTTGCCATAGCCACTCCAATGATATGATCCATCTTGCAGCTGGCACAGATTCCAGCTCAGATTTGCATCGCTTCTACCGGGCTGCTGGGAGCCACCTCGCTTCACAAGACCTGCTGACTCGCTCCCCTTGCATTCGTTCCGAGTTTGCTTTCCCTCTATGCTTTTGTAAACTGCGTAATGTGCAGACTGAAACAAGCAGTGCGTGGGGGTGGGATGAGGCTCTGGAGCATGCTTGCAAGCCGCTGTGCTGCCCCGTACAGTACGGAGTGGTTGCCACATGGCAGGGAGAGCTCCACCAGCCAGAACGGGTTGGTGCGACTTCCCTGGGAATGCCCACGGCTTCCCTCTGACATGCTTTTATCGGTGAGGGCGTGGCCGGTAGGGTCCTGGACAACGGCATCCCCCCCTGAATCCCGCCAGCCTAAGCAAGGTGCAGCGACCGGGCGCACCCCATGCTCAACGTGCGTGTCCTGCTGCGGCCCCCTGCCCTCCCACCCTGTGAGGCCGCCGTCCGACTCCTGCGTCGTCCATGGTTGCCGTGCGCGATGGATGCCGCCAGCGATAAGCCCGGTGCCCCTCTGGAGCGAGGGCCAGCGCCGGCGCCGGCTGGAGGTCGTGTCGGCTGCCGGACTCGCGCCAGCGGCACAAACCTCTGCACGCTGCCGCCACGCCACGCACGTTGCTCGCTGACTTCGCGAGCGATCCCCTTGAGGTTAGTCCAGCGCAGGCGGAGGGCTGCGAGGAGCGGCTAGCGGCCTGCGTCCCAGCCGTCTGCCCCTCGCTCGTCCAGTACCCTGGTACTTCAGCACCTCATTCCCCCAAGACACCCAGCCGGGGAACAGCTCTCGCGCAAACATCTGTGCGAATGCAAGGAAAGGAGGGGGGGTTGCTCAGGTCGGGACCGGCTCGGGCTCAGCAGCCAGGCACTCATGGTCCCTCCGAAGCTTCAGCCGCCCCCCCCACCCCGCGCCAGCCTCCATGCCCAGGGCCCAGGCTCACCTCAAGGCACTCGCCTCCCCCGGCCACAAGCTCCCTCAGCTGGTGCCCCAGGTGGGGTTTCCTGGAGTGTTGCCCCGGCACCGAGGCAAAGACGCGGCCATCCAGGTGCTTCGTGCCTTCGCCCGCGGGGGGGGGCACCGACATGCCCTGCCCTGCCGCACGGCAGATGAGCAGGGGCTCGTAGGGGCGGCGATGGTTGGAGCCCTGCGGCAGCGGCGGAGGGGGAAAAGGGGTTTGGGGGGCCAGAGGGGTCCGACGACACGGCCCCGCCGAGGTCAGCGACGCGTGACCCCGGGCCCCGCCCCCTCACCATGGCGCTGACGGGGCAGCCCCCCGGGGTCAGCTTCAGCCAGTGCCAGGTGGCAACGTGGCGCAGGCCCCAGGCGGGCAGCAGCTCCGTTTCCACGAAGCGGCGCAGCCGCTCGCGATTGGTCACCCACAGCGCCACGACGGCGCCGCCCCCCTGCAAGCACGGGCAGGGAAGGGGGGGAGGCGTGGGTGTGGGCTCGTGGGTCGGCGCGGGGGTGGGAGTGGGGTCGCAGGGGTGGAGATGTGCGGGGGCCATGGACCAGGGCACCCCGCCGCCCCGGGGGTCTCACCGCCTCGGGCCGCAGGAGTCCCTGCAGCGGCAGGCCCAGCAGGTTCCAGCCGGGCAGGGTGTGGTAGTGGCGCCCCCGCTTCACGCTCCGGTTCTCCCGAGGGGGGGTCCACGACTATGCACCTGAAGCGGGGCCCTCCTGCGCGGAGGCAAGGGGGCGGGTGATTGGGGCTATGCCCCTGGCCGGACGCGGCGTGCGACCATGGTCGGGTCCCCAGGGGGGCATGCAACTGGGATGGCATGCAGGTGGCCCCCGGGCTGGGGTGTGCCACCCCAGGTATCCCCTCCCCTTGACCCACCCTGTAGCAGGGGCCCCAGCTCCTTGACGTCAGACAGGAGGAAAGAGGCGCGCGCAGGGAGCAGCACGGTGTGCTCGGCGGCCCGGGCCACCACGACCGCGTCGCTGGCGTTAACGAGAAGGGTGCCAAACAGGTCCCGCTCCGCAGGCAGCCCCTGCCCCACGCCGCTCGAGGCGGCGCAGGAGAATTTGGGGCGCAGGACGCGGCGGAGCCCCGCCATGGCCACCCAGTCGGGCCCGGTGCCCAGGGGGGCCAGGAGGGGGGCAGGCTGGCACAGCAGCCCGCTGGCCTGGGCGTCCGACCCGATCCAGAGCTGGTGGGGCTCGAGCGGCGGGGCATCCTCTAGCAGGGGCGCGAGGGCGGCCAGGAACCGCTCGATGGCGGGCGCGACGAGGGTGTGCCGCGCGTTGGCCTCCGCCCAGCGCGGATCCGGCTCGCGGCGCCTCTTCGCCGGGGTGGGCGAGGCGATGGGCGCAGGGTGCGGCTCGTCATGGCGTGTGGGTGTCATGCCATCGGGAGGGGAGCATTGGATAGGTAACGATCCTCCAGTGCCCGTGTCGCGACAGAACACCGCCGTGTAGGGAATTCAGAGGACCTGTCGGGGATCTTGCGTACAATGCCGCCTCGACATGCATACGCCACAATTTTCTTAGAGCAGGGATGGTGCTGCGCCGCTTGTGCGGATCCGCTCATTCATCGTCCAGTTCAGTTCTGTCCAGTTACACCAAGGGGCCCCCTGACAGCTTGCCACCCATCGAGATGGGTAGGCTAGTTTCTTGCGCGCGATTGCAGGCGCCTGGCTGCACTCTGCAACATCCTTGCACCAAGGCTTTGAGAGGGTAACGCATGGCAAACCCAGGCAGGCAGCCCTCCTTCCTTGCAAGTGAGACACGGAGCCTACCCAGGAGGCCACGCCAGCTGGCGCCCGCCGATGACATGCAGGTGCAGGTGGTACACCGACTGGCACCCATCCTTCCCGTCGTTGACCACCACGCGGAACCCGCCGGGGCACTCCTTGGTGCCAACCTGCCCGGCAACCCAGAACAGGTGCCCCAGGAGGGCCTTCTGGTCCTCACGCGCCTTGGAGAGCTGGCTCAGGCCGTCCACCACCTTGGGGATCACCTGAAGGAGTGGGGTAGGAGGCACAGCCAGGGGGATTACTGGCTGGAGCGCTTGGGTCTGGCTGAGATCAGCCCGGACGTTGTGCAGCTGGCAGTTCAAGCATACTCACGAGGAAATGGATGGGGGCCTGAGGGGAGACATCCCGGAATGCCAGGGCCTGATCGTCCTCATAGATAATCTTGGCAGGGATCTCCTTGGCTACGATCTTGTCAAAGATGGTGGGCTGGGCACTCGTCGCGGCGCTGCGAATCAGAGTGAGGGGAAAGTCAAGACCTGGGGCCAGAGAGTCTTTAACCCCATGCGCAACCGCAACGTCCAGCGAGCAAACCTCACCCCGAGGCTGCAGCCCGAGCTGCTGCCTCCGTCTCTGACGACATCGCTCGGATCTGGGGTTGGGTAGGTCGACGGATCGCTGGCCTGCAGAGGGCCGGCCGGAGCACGGAGCCGCACAATGTGAGCTTGGCAGGAAGGAGAGAGAGAAGCCTCATGTGCACTTCTGATATGCCGTCGTACTTGGAAGACCGTTTCCAAGTCGGTAGGAATGGCACGATCTCGACCTGGTCATCGTGCTCACGAAGTCCGGGCGCGAAGTGGGTGCCGTCACGCACAGCCCATCACGCAGGCCCACAAGAGTATTCGAGCCGGGAGCCAATGCAGTCTTTACAGACCTGGTTCTTGACCCATGAAACTGCAATGCAGCGCCCTGCAAGGTCGTGCGGGTGGCGCATGGAGGGGTGGCTTGCTCGCCGGTGAGCAGCGGTTCCTGACCCCAGACAGGCCACCCCTGCGTCGTCCTACCAGGGGCCAGAGGCATGAGAGATCACTGAAGGCCTTGCAGACCCAGCAACTGGGTCATGGAGGACCCAGCATTTCCCGCATCACCCTGGGTGAGGGGGTCCTGGTAAAGGATCCTGGGCATCAGCTCTTCAGGCCTGTCTCGCCCATGTCTTTGGCGGTTGGGGGCGTGCTGCCGGCCGGCCGGGCCCCCGGGTATCAGAACACGCCCCCGCAGCGCCCTCATGAACCCCTCACTGACCTGCCATCATGCTACCGTTCCTTCACTCCCAAAGGCACGATGCTGTTCGGGTCAGATGTCAGCCAGGAGGACGCGTTTGCGCAGCTAGACGCCGCGCATGAGGCGGGCGTCACGTGCTTCGACTCCGCTGAGATGTATGCGGTGCCCCCCAGCGCGGCCACCTGCGGCGCCTCGGAGCGCATCCTGGGCGCCTGGCTGGCGCAGCGCCCACAGGCACGGCAGGGCGCCTGCGTAGCCACCAAAGTCAGCGGCCCGGGGGCCATGCCCTGGCTGCGGGGCGGGCCCAGCGCCCTAGACCCCGAGAACATCACCCTGGCCATCGAGGGCAGCCTGCAGCGCCTGGGGGTGGACTGCATCAACCTCCTCCAGCTGCACTGGCCAGACAGGTGTGTGTGGGGGGGTGGGGGTTTGGTATGGGCAAGGATGGCCAAATGAAAGGGAGGGGCCTGAGGGGGTTCTGGGGGGCACCATGGAGAAGAGGGAGGCACGATGCAGCACGGGGTGGTGGACGCAGGAAACAAGCCTCAAGCACATGGCCGCACCAGCGTGGTACAGGCAGGGCTGGCTTCTGTCCACCCCTACACCACTGTTCACCGGAAAGATGCCTGGCATTGAGAGAAAGGCATGGCGCCTGGCACAGGTCGCGCTGCCACAGTCACTGTCAGCGCACCGTATCGCCCTACATGCCCTTGCATCAGATAGACCCCACTTGTGCTGCCGTTGCCACGCCACCACTCACAGGAATGTGCCCATGTTCGGCAAGGTGAGGTTTGACCCGACCGGGGACTACCCCTCTTGCGCCATCGAGGACCAGCTGGCGGCCCTGGGCGAGGCAGTGGCGGCGGGCAAGGTGCGCCATGTCGGGCTGTCCAACGAGACACCCTGGGGCCTCATGCGCTTCCTGGGCGCCGCAGGGACCTCGCTGCCTCGCGTCGTCTCGCTGCAGTCGGCCTACAGCCTGACCTGCCGCTCCTTCGACCACGGGCTGGCGGAGTGCTGCCACCGGGAGGGCGTCGGCTTCATGGCTTACAGCCCCCTGGCGGCCGGCCTGCTGACCGGCAAGTACGAGGATGACAAGGGCGGACCGCCCAGCGCCAGGTGGACTTGGATGTGCATGGAGGGTTTGGGAGATGTGGTGGGTCGGGCAGGCCTGGGAGGTGCGAGGATGGGCACAATAGTGTTCTCTGGGCAGGGGATTCGTGGAGTTCGAGCAGATCGCCTGGCTGCGATGACAGTGATGGTGGCCTGTAGTGGGTTGAGAGGTGCAGGGGGAGGCGCTCCCATCCCTGGGCTGCTATATCGGCTCGGGTCTGAGTGCTTTATGATCACAGCTCTGCGCCAGAATCGCACGAGAAGGCTGCCAAAGCGATGGGGCCATGACAGTCTGCACCAGCTCCAGCCCCACGAACCTCCCACACCAATACGTGCACCCACCCCAAGGTTGAATCTCCATCGGGAACGGTATTCAGAGGACGGCAAGCGGTATGCACGCCGGGAACCAGTGGTGGCAGCCGTCAGGCAGTACGCTGAGCTGGCGCGGGAGTGGGGCCTGACACCGGCCGAAATGGCCCTGGCCTGGGTCCTGAATAACAGCCTGGTCACCACCGCCGTGATCGGAGCCACCAGCCTGCCGCAGCTGCGGGAGCTCATCGCCGCGGCAGAGGGGCGGCCCCTGGACCCCGAGTTGCTGGCCGCCTGCGACAGGGTGCACGCGCTGAGCCCCAACCCCACGCCCTGACTGCATGTGGGCATGCACAGACTTATTGGTTCATGCATTTACCGCTTGGTGACCCATCCACAGTCGTGGTGCTGAACGGACGAGTAGAGGTGCGAGGTGGGAGCATGGAATTCCATGTGGAACCTGGCGCGCAGGTTCAAAATATGCATGGCCGAGTCCCCTCCAACAATGTGATCGCCGTCAAGAAGACCACCGACTGCTCTCGAAACCTCCACCCTAGCATTGATATTTTTAATAGGCATTGTGCACACTCTCCGCAGCGAGTCCGGGACCTCCCATCCTCCCCTCGACCACGCCCCGACACGGTGCGCCTTTCCGCCGGCTCCGCCTGGCACGGAACGCATTGAGCCATGGGGAACAGTGGATCCGCCCCGGAACCGGACACGGATGAGTTCTCCTCCCCGGCGCCCGCCCAGGAGGTACGTGAACGCGCTGGATCGCTGCCATCGTGTCTAGGGACGGGCACTCACCGGCTGTCACCGAATCACACCAGCTCCTTACCGCCCCCCCACGCCGCAGCCCGCTGGTCTGACCCTGTACAAGGGGGAGAGGAACAGCAAGGGTGATTTCCAGTGGAAGGAGGCGGCAGGCGGCATCCACGCCAGCCTGTATGACGCCAATGAGGACGCGACGGGCCGCAGGCCCGAGTGGCACTTTGAGCTGGAGGGGGGTCCCGTCGACCTGAACGCCGTCATCGACGACGACTTCGTCTTCGACCTGGCCTCCCGCCGCGTGCTCTTCACCGTGGACAACACCATCTGGGCCCTGCACACGCCGGCAGGGGGAGTTTTCGAGGCCCTGCATGCAAAGTACGAGCGCGCCCTCTTCGAGAACAAGTGGGGCCTGGAGGACACCCTGGAGAACAGGAATAAGGTGGGGGGGGGTGGACCAGATAGAGGGTGTGGGAAGGGCAGGGCCCAGAGTGGCAGAGAAGGGGGGGAGGGTCCCTGGGCACTGCCAGGTCGTCTTGCTTCCCAAGCCCTCATCCCTGGTGCGTGGAGCTCATCACTTCCCTCACATCCCCGCCCCCGCTCCCTGTCCCCTGCGCAGATCATGGGCACCGACGGGCTGCAGATGATCGGGAAGGAGACCGCGGAGTCGCTGCGCGCCTGGGCCGATGACATGGACGTCGACGTGCGTGGTCTGGAGAGGGGAGGAAGGGGAGGCGTCGTGACGGCGGCGGGAGGCCTGCCTGGTTCTCCTGCTGGACCTGCCGGAATTCGGTGCAGTGCGGCCCCTCAGCAGTCATTGAAAGCGCTCATTCCCCTGCCAATGTGCGGAGCCCAGTCCCGATGTGCGGAGCCCAGTCCCGATGTGCGGAGCCCAGTCCCGACCTCCCATCCCCCAACATAACAACCCAACCCCAGGTGCCGACGGCAGCGGAGCTGAGTACGCCGCCTAGGGAGCGGCTGGTGGGCCGCCGCGATGCGATCCACGGCCTGGTCATGGGGGCGGGGGACCGCAGCTACCTGATCCGGGACGGCGAGATCAACGTCATGCGCAATGTGCTGGGGGGCATGGAGGACGCAGGTGGAAAGCGGGGAGGGAGGGGGGTGGGAGGGGATCCGCGCACTCTCAGCCCCTTGCAACTCCCCGGGGTGTGGGTGCCGAGCACATTGAAGGCAATGTCTTTTGCGCTCGCATGCTCACCCTTCCTCCCTCATTCCACCGCCCCAGCGGTGAAGCTGTCTTTTGGAATGCCCGAGTCGGGGGGCACCCCCGGGACGGGCCGGCGCAGCACTCGGCGCTCATCCCTGGGCCCCGCAGCCGCCTCGGGCGGCGGCTCGCTCACGCCCTCTCGCGCGCTGCTCATGGCAGCCGAGTCCAAGATGGCCATGCTGACGCCGCTGCGCAAGTCCAACCTCATCCAGGCCGACATCGAGACGGGGCGCGTGGTGAGTGAGTGGTCCTTCCAGAAGGATGGTGTGGACATCCCCATGGACGACATCGTGGGCGACACCAAAGCCTCGCAGGTGAGAGAGGAAGGGAGGGATCCTGGCGGTAGTGTTTTGGGGGTAGAGCAGGGGGATGGCAAGGGGTCCCCGGGAAGTGGCACATGGCATGTGGGCGTGCTGACTGGCACTGTGGACCGCCAACCAGCGCTGGCAAGGCAGACCCCTGCACGCCAAACGCCATGTGCTCTTGATGCCCTCCAACTCGAACCCCCACACGAACCTGGAAACTCACCCAATACACCCCTTCCATCCCGCAGCTGGAGGACCGGCAGACCTTCCTGGGCCTGGGCACCAACCGGCTGGTCCGCTGGGACATGCGCGACCGGGCGGGGGTGGTGCAGGAGATGGGGTCGCCGATCGTGCAGTATGCCGGTGGCAAGGACTATGCGCGCAACACCAACTTCACCTGCATGGCCACCAGCGGTGGGTTTCTGGGAGACAGGGGAGAGTGTTGCTGCTGTCAGAGAGGGAGAACCATCCAGGACGCCAGTCTCAGAGCCTGGGTGAGCTGTCGCCCAGCTCATGGGGTCGCCATGGCATCGACAAAACAATATGCCCTGCTGCCTTGTGCCCTTCTTTCCTCAAACAGGGTACCCTTTTCAACATCCTTCATCATTCCCCCCCTTCAGGCGACGGGTACGTGGTGGTGGGCTCCCAGGACGGGCGGGTGCGGCTGTACAGCGAGAGCACACTGACCCAGGCGCGCACCAGCATCCCCTCCCTGGGCTACCCCATCACCGACGTGGATGTGACCTACGACGGGCGCTGGGTGGTGGCCACCGCCGCGCACTACCTCATGGTGGTCATGACCACCTACCGGCCGCCGGGGTCGGAGGCCACGCTCTGCGGCTTCACCTCGCGCATGGGCGCCAACAGCCCCGCGCCCCGCCTTCTGCGCCTCCGCCTTGAAGACGCGTTGCGCACGGTGAACAAAGGCTTCATGAGCAATTTCTGCGTGATAGGGCACGCAAGCATGGCTCGGCCCTCAAGGGCCATGGCAGGAAATGTGTGCGCAGCCAGACGCCGTCGCGCATTCTCCCGTACACAATCAGATGAGAGCCTTTCCACGACCCACCGCCTCGGCCTCATCCCCTCGCAGGGCAACAAGCCATTGCAGAAGGGGCGGTTCACCTGGGTCACGGAGCGCGGGCGCCAGGAGCGGTGGGTGGTGGCCTCCTGTGGCAGCTACACCGTGCGCTGGAACCTGCGGGTGGTCAAGACGGCCAATGCGCAGACCGTGAGCGGGGGCGGACTGACCACCGTCGACCAGTACCAGCTGCTGTCCAAGGAGGAGCATGTGGTGGACTCCGCCTTCATGCACGACAACTTTGCCAGGAGTGAGTACCTTTTTCTATGTCGGAGCGGAGGAGAGGGGGAGGGAAGGGATGTGTTGAGAGCCCTCTGTGTGCGAGGTGGGCATGTCGTAAGGGGCAGCACATGAAGGGGGGGATCTGGATTGCTTAGTTGGTCAGGGCTTGGGGAATGCTGACTCGAGGCTATCTAGATCTACCCCGATGCCTACCATGAAATTATTAACTGAGGCATGCCTTCACCCGCAGGTCATGGAGAGTCCATGGTGGTGGTCACCGACAACCATGTGTACAACATCAACGATGACGAGGACAGCTCTTGAGATGCTCCCGATGCCTCCGTCTCTGGCCACGTATCATCGTCACTGTGCATCAAAGACATCACTCTCATGGCTCGCATTCCTGGGTCGCATTGTGGCTCCCCGCCATTGCAAGATTTGCCTGTAAGGAGGCCACTCCAAGAATGGAACACCCCAGGCTGGATCCCTTGCCTGCACAAACGATCACAACACGATATTGCTAGCTGGTCGATGGTGCTATGCTCCCAACCCTTTCAATGGCTGACAAACAGGAGTAGGCTTAGCTCAGGAGTGCAGATTGGTGCTTCCACGGCAAGGGTCTTGGCTTGGGAAATTACTTTCATCACGCAAGGGAAGTGACTGCATGCCAGCAAAGTCCAGGCATGTGCCAGGAGCCCGAGGGGATCATACAGATGTTCTCATCTATATATGTGTATCTCTGGTTGTCAACTCACGTTGGGGATGTTTGAGATCTTGTTTTGTGACTCGTCAAGCATGTGTAGCCAGACCTCTCAGATAAGGCACATTGACCCAAAAGCTAAAATGTCAACGATGAGAGGGTCTGGTTGCAATATGAGCTCCACAAAGTTAAGACCTGCTGTAGTAGGCCCAACATCACTGCAAGTATCGACGAGATGTTCTTTTGGACAGGCTCGGATTACATATTTCGATTGTGTGGCTTGCATTCTGCAATGAGCAATGGCACGGCCAGTCTTCATTCCAATCTGGCCCTCCCACTCAAGAAACTGCGCCACTGTATAAGATATATCAGAAGGGCAGCTTAAACAGACAGGGAGCCCTGTTGACAGTGTACAGGCCCCCACAAGAGTGCACTGTGCACTGCAGTACGCTCTCCAGTGTTGCACAAAAACAAAGATCTGGTGGATACACTCTCCGGGGAGTGATACTGGGGGAAGAGGTCAACCTGCCTTGCACAACATTTCTTATTTTTACAAGCAAACGTTCTCCCTCAACCCTGGAAGGTGGTATTGATGTTGCACTGAATGGTCTTGTCACTATCATACTGTGAATTTGTTGAGCATACTGATAAGTTAGATGAATCCATCCCGCTGCCATGGTCCAGTTACATCAACACCACAATAAGTCAGGCAATGGGTTCGGCCTCGATGTCCATGATGCAGGAGGACACCACCCTGCACCGCCGCATCTGGCCGACCTCGGCAGGGGCCACGCCGGGGTCAAGGGGGGTGAGGAGGTACACCTGGCCATCTACCTCGGGGGCGTCCCACTGTGTCCTGCCCAGCAGCTCCCCGCCCTCCCCGATCCCGTCCACCAGCACATCAATCTATTGGTTGAGAGTGGGGAATTAGCTGTGAGGTTCTATTGCGTGCAAACTGTTATTCACGGACAAAGATGAGACCATAAATTAGATCCTGTATCCATATCCTGCTTCACTCGGTAGGTCCAAAGCACCTCTATCACAGCATGTGGTCTTAGCCCATGTCCCTTCCCAACGGAGGCATCTGTCGCTGCGCACCTCCTTGCCCACAAGGCTCTCGGCAAACGCAATGCTGTTCCTCTGCTGGATGGACATGAGCTCATCCCGCCGCTCCTCTCTGACTTCCTGGGGGATCTGCATGACAAGGGGGGGTGCAAGAGAGTGGAGGAGTGAGGCCGATCTAAACGGAGCAACAGATCTGATGTCGACACATGGAGCGCCAGGAGAGGGTCTCAAGAGGGTAATGACAGTTTCAATCCCTGTCCATGGCGTGTATGCCCCTGCTCCTGACAGATCAGGGTAGACTCCACTCACACGCACTTTTTGGGCTCCCGGCAGCCCTCTCTCATCTCCCCACCTGCTCAGGAAAGCCAGCGGCGGGGGTGCCATCCTCCTCGCTGTAGGCAAAGGCGCCGCCCCTCTGGAACCCAAATGAGTCGGAGAACTCTGCCAGCTCCTCGTGTGCCCCCTTGCTCTCCCCAGGGAACCCGGAAATGAAGGTGGTGCGAAGCGCGAGATCCGGGATGCAATCCCGCAGCGTGCCCAGCAGGCGCAGCGTGTGGTCCGCCGGCGGCCGGTTCATGGACAGCAACACCAGGTTGTTGATGTGCTGCAGCGGGATGTCGATGTACTTGCAAACCTGGTAGGTGGCAGTGGGGGTGGGGAACGTGATGATGAGAGGGAAGGCGGGGGATTGTAGGGAGGCATCATGCAGAGAGTTGCGCGATGGGGGGAATCCCGTTGCGCCCACTCAGCCTAGGCCTGATGCGGTCAGCATGGCTGGCACCAAATCCGGCTGGAGTGGCTACCCCACTGGCGGAGGTCAGTCCCCCACCCCCAACACCCTGTCAAACAGGACTACATTCTCAAGCTTCCGCCTAACAAGTCACCTTGGGGTTGGTGGCGATCTCCTGGATGAGGTCCTCGGTGAAGTAGGAGGGGTAGGCGTACAGGATGCGGATCCACCTGAGCCCCGGGATCTCGGCCAGGTTTGCCAGCAGGCCGGCCAACCCGGTCCCGCCGCGGCGATCCTGGCCATACTGATTGGTGTCCTCTGGGCGGGCAGGGGAGGGAAAGGGGGGGGGGGTGCTGAGTTGCAGCGCACTGGAGGCCTTTCTTGGGAGGGCATCCCTTGGGTCACGCAAGCACGCCGCCCTACAGTACGAGCAACTGCAAAAGCAGCCCTTCCCCCATAAACACACACCATGCCCTCATCCAGCCGCGTTAGAACTGACACAGTGCCCCCTCGCATCGCACCTGCAATGAGGTTGAGCTCCAGGGCGCCCCCCGCGACCAGCGCCCGGGCCTCCTCCAGGATCAGGCCCGGCGGCTTGCTCCTGAAGCGCCCCCGGAAACCTGGGATGGCGCAGAAGGTGCACGCGTGATTGCACCCCTCCGCCACCCGCAGGTAGGCGGTGTGGCGGGGCGTCAGGCGGTGGCGCTGCGTCTCCTCGGGAAAGGGCGAAAATGTGGGGCTGCCAACCTGGGGTTCGAGGAGGGTTAGGTTGGGAGGTTTGAGGGGGTGGTTCAGGGTTGAGCCAACCATGGGCGAGGCATTTGCCTCGTGGGCTGCGATGACACAGCCCCTCGTGAAGTCAGTACCTAATGAAAATGCCGGGCCATGCCCTGCAAAGGTGCCCCCCCCTCTCTCCCCCCCCAAACACACACCTGCACCGCGGTCTGCGTGGCGCCCGCCGCTTCGCCCAGGACGTCGTGCAGGTTCTGCGCCAGGTCGGCATATCGCTCAAACCCCACCACCAAGTCCACCTCGGGCAGCTGGGCTGCATGGGTTAGAATGCGGGAAGGGAGGGGGATGTTAAATCAGGGTGAGGTACGGCCGAGGGTGGCTGGCTGGCAGCAGGCCACTTGGGACAGTAGCAAGCGCACTTTTGCCTCCCTTCGAGCCTCCAACCCTTGCCACCAGTCTGTACCTGCCAGGTCATCGGCGTACCGCTGGGCCAGGCAGCCAGTCACGACGACTCGCTGGACAGCGCCGCCCTCCGCCTTGAGCTGGGTGGCCTCCATGATGGCCTGGACAGGGGGAATCCAGGGGCCAACTGTGGGTGGTGCAGCACACCGGGAGGCACCTGCCCGATCTTAATGGGGACAAGGGGTGCCCAGCACAACCGGCACGGGAAATCAACGGTGCAAAGGAGGCACTCCCGGCCTGCCAACCCACGCCAATATCTCACATCCAGGGACTCTGCCTTGGCGTCCTCGACAAAGGCACAGGTGTTGATGACGATGGCGTCGGCCGACTCGTGGTCGTCCACGACGGAGAAGCCCGAGCGCTCCAGGTTGCCCAGCATCACCTCACTGTCCACCGTGTTCTTCGGGCAGCCCAGAGACACCTGCGGGCGGGCGTCAGGTGGAGTGCAGGGGGTGAGGGACAGAGTAGGTATGGTGCTCCACAGCCCATCGTGCAATGCGGGATTGTAAGTGCACGTCTGCACCATGAAAACTGCTCCAATCGGTCCTCACCAGGGACACTCGGGGCTTGGAGGTTTCCAGCGGGGGGCTGGTCGCGGCCCTTGTCCTCTGATGCAGGGCTGCAAAACGAGGAGGCCGAGGCCCCACACGAAAGCAGTCCCCATTTCGGAGGTGGGTGCCAGAGGGCGACGGCGACAGCCACAGCCCTCCCTTATAATGTGTGGCCATGCGTTGTGGTGTGAGTTGAAGGGCACGGATGAGAGCCGAGGGCCTGGCTCGCAATGGGTGAGCGGTTCCGGGGTACTAGGCCATGATGGACGGCACGACCATGCAACCTTCTATGAATTCAACAAATGAATTAGAATCCACCGTTCAATATATGTGGCACGATGTCCATGCCATGGACTTGCCCCATGTAACGGTGCTGGACGTGTTCCAGCCCATGCAGCGTCAGAGTAGATCGACTGCCCCGCCAAAATACTCGCGCCCTGAAGCGAAGGTGAGTCTTCAGCTGGCCTAGTCGACATTTGGCCCTCATCCGACAGCGAACTGCTATTGTCCAAAAGCGAATCTTATTTGCGAGGGGACAACAGGCGTCTTTGATAAGTCTCCCACCTCTCCATTCCAGCCAGGCGCCTTGCCTTGCCAGGTCGCCGGATGCAGTCTGCTCATCGGCGCGGCAAGAAGCGGAAACCAGAGGCCGACCTGGAGGCAGAACGGTCCCTGTACGCTTCTTTCGCTACCGCGGCAAACTCTGTGTCCCAGCTCTATTCCTTGGCCCTCGGACAGCAGGCCCGTTACCGCGACGAGGGCGCTCGCCAAAGCCTGGTAAGCTGTGTCGCGCTCGAACTAGTCATATTGGTGCTGCCCTACTCATGTTCCACGTGCCGTATGTCCTGCCCATGACTGGCTGTTTGTGACACACACGTCCCGCTCACCCCGTGGCCTTCCCCTCTGGTACCCTCGCATTCGGCAGGAACGTGTGTATGAATGGCTCTGCAAAGAGCACGGCAACAGCTCCACCCTACCCACTGCGGCTCTCATGGACTTTCTGAGGCAGGAGGCCTTGCTGCTCGGGACCCCTGGCGAGTGCAGCGCCACGCCCGTTCCCGTCCTGCCCCTGGCGCCCCCCGCCGTCTTCTCCTCAGCAGCCGCAGCAGCCAAAGAGGACGAGGGCGTGGAAGGGGGAGACAAGGGCCCGGCAGCTGTGGTGCGGCGACTGCAGCAGCAGCAGCTGCATCAACAGCAGCAGCAGCACGAAGAGCAGCAACAGTCTGGGTGGTATGGGGCGTGACCGCCAGCCCCCCGATGAGTGTATATTAATATCCGTCAAGCGAAGTCAGTGGTCCTTGTCTCACCAATTCCTTGTTAAAATCAATGAATGTCATTCGTGTCCCAGACTGTCTTGTTCTTCCTTGTAACTCTTCTGTCAAGATGGTGTGGTGCAGCTCGGACATGCCCCAGGGTAGAGGTGAGGATCATACACACACGCAGCGCACGTGGCGATGCACAGGACACACCTACGCTTGCGGGATACACTGCGTCGGTTTCGATGGTCTTGTCAGATCGATTTGAAGGTAATACGTCGAAAGTGGAGACTCGCGAACACTTCCTTGACCAGAAGTTGGTTACAGTGGCCCGAACTCACTTGCGTAAATTATCGAGACCGGTGCTTGCCCGGGCATCCTCAGTACTGAGGGGCCTATAACTCTTGCCGATCCCCTACATAATCTCTATCGCGCGTGCACGATGCCCTCGCGGCGTGCGGGCTCGTCCAGGAATTCGGGTGACCCTCCTGCCCAACCCAACGAGAGCCTGGAGCTGATGTACGAGACCCCGGAGGAAACAGGCTCCCGGTTGAGCAGCGGGACCCGCTCATCCTCTTGGGACAGCAGGAGCTCCAGCAGCGTAACCAGTGACGGTGGGACCTGCAGCCCCACCCCGGCCTCCCCCTTCCCCACGCGCTCCTCCTCCGGGACTCCTCAGCGCGACAGCCCAGGCCCCCCCCCCAGGACCCGCACGCAGCGTTGGAGGGTCCTGGACGTGAGGCGCCGGTCCACGAAGCGCCCCTGTCACCCAGGCGCCGAGTTCAACGCCCCCGACCTGCTCAGCTACAACCCGGCCTCCTCGCTAGCCAGGTACTCGTGGAGGGTGGGCTGGAACTGAGCAGGGGTGAGCTCACGCACCTGGGAAAAAGGGGCAGAGCGTGCTCCAGGAGGACATGGCTGGGATGCAGAGGTCTGACCACGGCGCTTTGTATCTGATGCGAGCCCGGCGCACCGACCCTCGAGGCAGGCGGCCCCTTGGGCGCACCCTCGACCATGTCAGCCACCCCACCCCCGCAGGGCTGCCTGCGAGGTGAGGTGGAGGGCGACAGGGTACCTCACGCGCCCGAACATCCTCCAGGGCTCGAATGCCGGGGACCTGGAGGCCCAGAGGCAGCGTGTCTCAAGCAGGTTCGAGGGTTGGCCTGGATCCCGGCTCATCCCGTCAGGGGCCCAGGCCCGCGCGGCGCCCTGCCCCTTCTCCTGCCCCGGCCGGATGTTTGCCACCAGCGCCGGCGCGATCCGCAAGTGCCTGGAGGCCTGTGTCTTTGCCTCCAACAGGTTTGTGCCAGACCCGGGGGATGTTGGGGTTTGAGCTGGATGGGACGCAGGACATCACATCCTGCTGCTTGATGGGGTCGCGGCTGTGCCGAGAGGGGCAGACCTTGGCATGAAGGTATTCGTGACCACCCCCTCCCACTCCACATGCTTTGATGCCTGCATGCACAGCGCCGCCGCCTCGCCTGGGGTGTGCCTGAGATGCTCCATGCGGCATCCACCCTTGCAAGCTATCGGTTTCCGGTGCAAAGGAGTCATCACCCTCCACTCCCCCCTCCCCCGCCCTCCAGACCCCTCGACACCCAGGGCGTGCAGCCCGGATGGGTGGGCCTGCTGCATGACAAGGGGCGCCGCGTCATCTATGGCCTGTACCAGGTGGAGAGCATGGGGACAAATCTGGACCCCAGCTTTGGGCCGACCCTGGTCTGCCAGGTACGGCCTTGGGGGGGGTTGTTCGTCGAGGAGGTCAGCACCTGGCACTGCGCCCAGAGATGGGCGCAGGGCCCGGTCAAGGCATGGGTTACGACGCAGACGCTCTGTTTGTTTGCTTGCACAGGCACTGGGCAAGGTTGCCCCCGCCATGCTCCCCGACGCACGACCATAGCCTTGCTGAAGGGGTGCGCTGTGTGACACCCACTCACACACCCAACTGCACAGGCTCGTGTGCGGCCAGTCAGGATGTTCCGGCCGCTGCCCGAGGACGTCTTCCTGCTGGTGCATGGATGGAAGCGGGACCATGGGACGGGGCTGGCCCTGGAGTACTTCCGGAGAGACCTGTCCCCCGCCCAGACCGAGGCGCTGTGGAGGCTGTGGGAGTTCTGGGATCGACACTGAGCCCCCACCGGCGGAGCTTCGCGCCCGATGCTCACCACCTTGGGTCTGGGTCTGCCCGCTGCCTCAACACCAGCATCTCGGCACAGGACCTACAGCATGGAGCAGCTGTCCTGGTGCCTCTCAGACCTGCAGGACTGGAAGATCACCACGAGCATTGTAGCCTGGAGAGGATACAGCTCAAGATCATCGAATTGCAGCCGATCTGCCGTCGCCTGCAAGCTCTCCCAGAGTTGCCCTCAGCGGGTGGTGTCTACTGTCACAACCCAACCAAAATGCTCTGCTGCTTGGAATGCGCAGCGCGCTCCCAAGCTTTACTTCCACTGCTCACTGTGCATATATTGCCTCCTTGGATGTATTTGAGAGGTCATGTAGCGTCGAGGCTCGCCTGAGAACCCCGTTTTCGAGGCTCAGGATCTTGAGGTCGCCGTGCTTCCGGAAACCAGTCGGGTCCGAGCGGAGATCCGATGTCCTCCTCCGCCCGCGAGCTTCTGATCCCAGCTACCTCCTGGTCGACGCAGCCACGCAAATGCTCAAATCTATGTAAAACGTCCGCCCCAAGTTCCGCAAGTCTGGGCCACATGGTGTTCGCACAGCTGGGCCTCCTACCCACCGCCTGGCCCCGCCGCACCACGACAACCATGCTGCACGGGCGATGGCGCAAGGATTACAAGGTACGCATGCATACCTTGCTGCATGATTGTCTCATGTCCGATCGCACGAGTGGCCTGAAAGCACTCAGCTGGTCACCCCTGCTGCGCCCTGCAGGCCAGTGACATGTCGTCCCTGCACCGGGCCATGAAGGCCATGCACTTGAGCCGCTTCGACTCTGCAGCAGCCATTCGAGTCCTCAAGGGACTGGAGATCTGCTCCTGGGAGGATGGTGTGCATGTTGGCTACCTCACCACGGTGCGAGGGGCCGTGCCTGGGCAGTGTGTGGTGGCTGGCCGAAACCGGCAACCAGGGCTGGCGATGCCCCAAATCGCGCCATACACATCAGCATCGCGCCCTCCCCCCCCCTTACACCCTCAAAGGTGCCATTTTACAAGCCTGTGGAGCGTTTCCGCCCCCATGAGGAGACCACCAATGCTCGGAGGGATCGGAGGAGTGGACCGGCACGGTGCAAGCTGGTCAGGACAGGGGCAGACGGCATGGAGGTGGAGCTCATCTGGGATGGGGAGTATCCAGGTAAGAATAAGGAGCTAGACGGGCTGGACCAGTTGAGAACTGCGAACAGGCCGTAGCATGGTCTCCTTCAAGGAGGGGTGGCGTGCACAGTGGCGTATCCCACAGGTTTGCAGTTGCTAATCTTCCTGCTGCTTACATCGCAATTTCAAGCGTTTTACCCCCGACCCCTGCAGGCATCATCCGAGAGGAGTTTACCATCAGGCCGGATGGCCGGTTGGAGGTCAAGGGCCGGCTGTCTGTGGAAGGCCGCGACTTGATAGTCACCCAGGTGTATGAGCGGTATCCCTGATCACAAAGACTGGAGTGGCGCCAGTCGCCAGGGTTATGATAGAAGAAGACCTCGATCTCAAGCTCCCTCTTTCCATCACGGGTTTCCAATGGAGTGTTCGACCTTTATACCTCTTGCTGCATGGTACTTCTATGGGTTGCACCCCCTCATACCATGGTCGCCACGCTTGAAGAGTTGGACAGGCCACCTTTCCAAGCACTTGCATGTACAGAGGGTGGCCGCCAGTGGCCGCCCTGGCTTGGGTCAAACCGTGGCCCCAGACTCAACGCTGCCCGGTACCTTCCTTCTAGATGTTTGCACCAAGCTCCCGGTCCTGCTCTCCACGCTTGCATTGTCAATTTTTATGCATCCATTCTTTCATATGCCTGTTCCACTATAAAGGACTGCACACCCGAGACGCCAAGGTGAGAGCCTTTTGGGTTCTCCATTCTTCAGCGGCAATCTGTAAGGCAGGTTGCCTGTGTTAGTAAATTACAAAGAGCCATGGAAGGGTCAGGAACTGTCCACCTGCGGCCCTGCTGCCCTGATTCGTTCCAGCTCATCCTGAGCAGATGCAAGGGGGTGGTTGAGTCAGGACCCTCACACTGCTGACAGGGCAATCGTCAACCAACTTCACAGATAATGGCAGGGAGATCGAGTCCGGACATGAATGCAGGGCTGTATCGTGGCCCTGACGACCGCACCCCACCTGCAAGAAGTGGCCTCCCCCGTCGCCCAGCTTCTCCCAATTCTGCAAGAAGGGGATTTTGGGTGCAGGGGATTGACAGGCCTGGATCATCCTGTGTCGCAGCCACTCCCGTTTGCTCTGCCACAGTGAAGCAGGGTATCACAACAAACGCAGCCATTATTCCCATGGAGCGCCTCGCGTACGAGCACGTCCGCCTCCGCCATCACGTCTTCTCCCAAAACTTGCTCCCTTCACAACCAACTCTCTACCTGTGCAAAGAGCCCGGCCAGCCGGCGTATACCATCATCGTAGGCCTCGCCGTCGGGCCAGCAACCCCGTGGGTCCATCAGGGGCGCTGGCACCCCCGGCACGCAGCGCGGCATCTCTAGTCCCAGGACCGGGAGCTTGACGAGGTCGGCGCCCCGCAGCGCATCCGACAGGATTGCGTGCACCACTGCTTGGATGTGCCGCGGGTCGTGCCTGGCGCCTGCCCCTGCGCCGCCCCCGGTCCACCCCGTGTTCACTAGCCAGGCCTGCATGCCGTGCCGGCGAAGCGCAGGGGCCAGCATGGCAGCGTACTTGCCAGGGTGCCACACCTGGGTCGGGCGGGGGGGGGGGGGAGGCGAATCCCGGGGGTAGAGGAAGAGGAGTGAGAGGTTGGCCCAGCCCTCCCACCCTGGTAGGCATATGCTGGCACGCGCGTTGCTTGTCGTCTGGAACAACCCTGCATGGACCCCATCAGCTCGTCGGCAACTCCCGCAAGACATACTTGCATGGGAGCCTTTCTCACCAGAAAGTCAGAGCAGTAGCAGGGTGAGAAGGCGGGCTCCGGCGGGACAGCATCGCCCTCCTCCTCCGTGGACTTGGCTGAGTACCCGCTGAAAATGTCGCGGGTACGGGGGGGAAGACGTCGAAGAAGAGGGCCCTGTAGGGCTGGGCAGATGCCGGCCGGCCAGCTACAGCGCAGCAAGAACTCCCAATGCAGATCACTGACCCAAGCAAAGGCAAGCAGCGCCGCTCCCTCTCCACTGCTGCCAGCCTGGCGCCTGCCCACCTCAGGAAGTAGTAGACGGCCTGGTCTGCGGTCAGGCGGGCGACGGGGGGCAGCACGCCCAGGGTGTCGCAGCACAGCATGATGAGATTGGCCGGGTGCCGGGCGGCGCAGGGCATGCGGTTACGGGGTACGAGGGTCGTGGGGTAGGTGGCCCGGACGCGAGGTGTGGTGCTCGGAGAAGCAAGGCCCGGCACCCGGCCGCCGCCCTCCGCCGCTGCGCCCTCCAGCAGCACGCCAAACCCGTCCCCCGGCCCGTCCCCGGCCCCAGACCAGGCGCCAGCCACGGTGTGGCAGCCGCCCTCCAGGGCGCAGACGCCGTCTTCGCCCCAGGCCACGAGGCCGTCGGCGAGCAGGCGGCGCTCGCCCCTCCCCGCCAGCGCCGCCCTTCCCTCCGAGCCCAGGAGGAGCGCTGCGTCCCCGGCACCGCCCTCGTCGCAGGCGGCGTGGAAGCAGGGCGCGCCGGCGGCGGGCAGCGCGTGGCTCAGCGCCGCCTGCAGCCCCCGCCGCATGTCGCCGGGGCACAGCGTGCCCAGCACGACCAGCTCGCGCCGGGTCAGGTCCAGCGCGATGGAGGCGGCGGAGGCGTTGTGGCTGGCGCGGCGGTTGGCGGGGAAGGCGCCGGCGTTGTAGAGCGTGAGGTCGGGGCGGCCGAATCCGTCCAGCTCCGCCGCGCTGGGCACGACGAGCATGCTGCGCGCGGAGAGCGCGTGGTGGGGGCGCGCGCAGACCACGCGCACCTTGAGTCGGACCTGGGTGAGGGAGTGTCGTGCGGGGGAGGGGTGGATATTCTGAGGGTGATTCAGGGGGATGTGGCGTCTTGGGAGGGGGGCCCTGCATCTCTGGCGCGGGGAGCGGTGAGCGCGGCACTTGTTTCGGGGCAGGCGGTCGCATGGCCAGGGTGGCATCGTGTCCACGAGGCTCGCCCCGCCACTCCCCCCCCGCTCCCACCCCCCTCGCTCCAGCCGGCAAAGCCGGCGACGATGTACAGCCGCGGCTGGGGGTTGAGGTAGTCCACAGCCCGCTCGCGGTTTATAAGAACCTCCCTGGCGCAGTTCCATGGGGTTTGGGCGGTGGGGCCGTGCTGGCCTGCAGCAGGTGGCTCCCATTCCCCCCCCCCCCCCCGCTCCCACCCCCCTCGCTCCAGCCGGCAAAGCCGGCGACGATGTACAGCCGCGGCTGGGGGTTGAGGTAGTCCACAGCCCGCTCGCGGTTTATAAGAACCTCCCTGGCGCAGTTCCATGGGGTTTGGGCGGTGGGGCCGTGCTGGCCTGCAGCAGGTGGCTCCCATTCCCCCCCCCCCCCCCGCTCCCACCCCCCTCGCTCCAGCCGGCAAAGCCGGCGACGATGTACAGCCGCGGCTGGGGGTTGAGGTAGTCCACAGCCCGCTCGCGGTTTATAAGAACCTCCCTGGCGCAGTTCCATGGGGTTTGGGCGGTGGGGCCGTGCTGGCCTGCAGCAGGTGGCTCCCATTCCCCCCCCCCCCCCCGCTCCCACCCCCCTCGCTCCAGCCGGCAAAGCCGGCGACGATGTACAGCCGCGGCTGGGGGTTGAGGTAGTCCACAGCCCGCTCGCGGTTTATAAGAACCTCCCTGGCGCAGTTCCATGGGGTTTGGGCGGTGGGGCCGTGCTGGCCTGCAGCAGGTGGCTCCCATTCCCCCCCCCCCCCCCGCTCCCACCCCCCTCGCTCCAGCCGGCAAAGCCGGCGACGATGTACAGCCGCGGCTGGGGGTTGAGGTAGTCCACAGCCCGCTCGCGGTTTATAAGAACCTCCCTGGCGCAGTTCCATGGGGTTTGGGCGGTGGGGCCGTGCTGGCCTGCAGCAGGTGGCTCCCATTCCCCCCCCCCCCCTCCCGGCGGCACAAGCGCAGAGCCGCCATGTGCGGAGGACGCTTGGTGCACCCACACACACTCCTTTCGCGTCCCACCTGGAGTCCATGGGAATGTTGGGCGACCCAGGGCCCCACCAGATGCCGGCCTGGGTGCTTGGCTCCCGCACCACGCTCAGGACTCCCGGGGTCTGGCTGGTGCTGCCCCCCGGCGGGACGGCCAGGGCCCCGCTGGCCGTGAGCCGGCTGCCGGGCTCGTATCGCAGTGCCTGGCAAGGGTGGGGGTGGAGAGGCTTTTTTAATGTGGTGGTATGAGGCCCAGGGTGGGAGATCACAACCATCCGCAGCGGGGCTGATCAGGGTGGCAGCGGGAGGTCCAGGTGCAGGAGTCTGGAGGCCATGCGGGATGCCTGCCCCGCCACCCCCTCTCTGCCCCCGCAGCAGCAAGTCTGCATCCCCCAAACAACCACAGCCTTACATGCTCATAGAGTTCTGCGACGCAGGCATTGTGGAAGACGATGGTGGGTCTGAGCCCGGAGTCGCTCATCATACTGAGCACCTGGGCATCGCCATTCTGCGGTCGCTCTCCGCCAGGCTGTCGCTTGAAGGCCGGAGAGGTTGGCGGGGACCGAGGGATGTAGATGTGCTGCCGAAAGGGGAGGAGGGCGGTGGTGGTGGGTGGGGGGGGGTCGGAAGCTGGCACACCTATTCTTCACCCTTTACCTGGGACGACCATGGGCTGCAGCTGGAAGCCGCAAGCTCAGCCGAAGTACCCCGGCCCAGGCAATGCTGTGGCCTGAGCTGGTTGAGGCTGAAGCCAGACTTCCTCAGACACAGCCAAACCTTCTCCCTTCTCCCTCACCCTGGGTTGCCGAGTGGCGATACGGGGCCCCTGGCCTCTCATGAGAGACTTCAGGGAGTCTGAGATGGAGGCCGCCTTGGAGTGTTCAGCAAACTCTGCGGAAGGAACATGGGCGCTGGGCGGTCGTGTGGGGAGCTTGGCCACCAGTATCAGGCATTGGCGCAGCCTGCACACCGATCCATCGCTGCAGGTCCTGCGCACCATCCCGTGTCTTTTGGGTCATCTGCATGCTGAGGAGCTCCTCCAGGTCGGCAGCCCGGCTGGGGTTTCCCTCATCGCCCAGCCGTCGATAGTCTGCGCATCGCTCGATGGAGCGACACTTGGCCCTCCTGAAGTGGTACATTGATTTGTGAATTGGGCGGATCTGCCTTGTGGATCGCGGAGGTCACAGGCCGGGCATGCGCGCTGCACGACACGGCACCCTTGCCAGCCTTCATGAATCTGGGACAAGATACACGCATCTTGGCGATGGTGCCTTGGCGCGTAGCTATATTATGAACCCAGTGTTCAGTGGCATGACTCGACTTGAGCTGGGACGTGCAGCACCAAAACCAAGCTCACCAGGGTGGAGGAGGCGGGAGGGTCGCCATCCCAGCTGGCTAGCCCTCAATCCAAGGAGTATTTGTGCAACATAATATCTCCATTCTTAAGCGCCATGCCCTGAATCCGTGCTGCAGCGGGGGTCTGCACCACAGTGGCTGCACCAAATGAATCGATTCGCATCCCAACATCACGTGCTTGGAGGACGTGGTTCCAGCCGCCTGCTTGTTCAAGCATGTTGAGGCACCCCTCAGACTAAGCGACGGGAGCCACCTGATCCCAGTCTACTTCGTGAGTGAGCATACAATAGCGGCTAATCAGAATGTGGTCGTGATGAATGTCTAAGTCACTTTCAAAGGCTGTCTCCTGGCAATTTGTCCGGGGTGGAAAGCGCATCCAACCTACCTTCATGAAATAGAGGGAGGGGCTGGGCAGAAGCCTGACAATCGATGGCAGGAGGTCAATTAGACGCTTGATCAGGCAGACTTTGCTGTAGCTCGGTTTCTCCTCCGCAAGAGTGGGAACTCTCTGGGCGCGTCACCTCCTGCGCAATCCCTGCGAGTTATACCAGAGTCGACTGGCGGTGCCACCCAATCCACATCTATGAAGCTTGTATCCTAGGCAACTGCACTGTCCACTCTCAGTGTGCGTGCGCTCGTACCCGAGGTCTGGGTTCGAATGGGAGCCCAGCCTGGGAACGAGGAGTACGCGAGCTTACGGGGGGCAATCAAGGATGGTAACCTGGCTGACGCCTGTGACTGTTCTAACGAACTAGAGTGATCAGAGCGAGCGAGGCCATGCCAGTCCCTGCCGTCACCGTGACGCTGCATTACGGCTCATCCTCCCCAACCCTCTGTCGCCACATTCCCTGCGGGTCATGGGATGTCGACACCAACTTCAAGGGGGGATCACTCACGGTCCGCGGATCATGGTACGCCCGCTCAAGCGAGGCTTGCACCGTGCGAGCTGCTTCTGGAGTTGCGGGAGGGCGGGATGGACCCCCTAGAAATAGTGCTGTGAACCTGGATCTGCTTGATGAAGGATGCCCAGCCAATCAAGGCCCCCCTTGTTCCACACCGTCTCAGGCCTGTACTCCACGACTCGACCCTGCTTGTCTGCCACCTCTTGACCAAAGGTCTGTGCAAGTACAGGCATGCCTGCAGCTGCCGACGGGCTCAGATGGCCTGCACCATACTGTTGGCGAGAGTGCACACCGACCTGCATTGCAGCTGCTGACCTCACTATTTTCTTGAGGAGGTCCTGCCCGACGCTCGTATTATTGCAGTACGCATCCGAATCAGCAATGCATCGCCAACAACCCCTCCCATGGACAGGGCCTGCCTTCTTCCTGGTTGCCGATGCGGACCCCGGCAATGGCCAAACCGCAGCGTATGTGGGAGACTAAGGTGTCCAGAAAAGAATTCTCTGTGCCCTGTCGAGGCCACTGGCATGCACAGGGATGTGTCCCTGCCCCATGCCGGCTGCGTCCGCCTCACTCCACCCACCTGCATTGTGCTGCAGGCTGTCAGATCTGCATGACCACTGCGTCTGGCAGAAGAGGGCTGGGGTGCTCATCGCCGATGACGGCAGCGAAGTGCTCCTGGTCCCCCTCAGAGGTGGGGGGGGTTGGGCCCCTGCGCTCCCCCTACCTGCGAAGTATACCATGCCGCCCTAGATTAGGCATGTTGATTTGCCCTTGTCTTGAACCACGTCATCAATTTGCCCTTCATATCCATGCCGAGTAGGCGAGGGCAGCGAGCAGGTGCTCGCGGGCTTCCACACCATCATGGCGGCAGGGGACGTGCTGGGGGGCTGCCTGGCTTCTGGCCGGCTTCCGCTCGTATTTGACCTGGACGAGACGCTGCTCGTGGCCAAGAGCCAGAGCCAGCTGCAGCGTGAGCTGGCCGAGCTCCGCGACGTCAGGTCTGCACGTTGCACGGGAGTGCATGGGCGTTGTTTGGGTGGGAAAATGTAAGGAAGGTCCCGCAAGTGTCTCCTAGTCCAGATTATGGTATCCCCCAGCTTGCCAGCACCCGACTAAAGGAGCAACTCCTTTGTCTTGTGCGCCGTCCCAAGAACACTCCTGGGGGCCTTTGCGTGGTCGGGTGCTCGATCTTTCCCCACCTGAGCCCTCCCTCAAAAACCAACAACACCCCCCAGGCGCCCGGCGCTGACTCAGCAGCCCAGTTCAAACGACAGGGCGCTGGGCCTGGCCGCGCTGCGGCGCGAGGAGGAGCTGCTGGCGGCCGACCTCTCCCTCCTCCAGCAGTTTGCGGAGCACGACGCGGTGGAGTGGGGCGGGGCGCGCCTGGCCGCAACCCTGGAGCCGGCTGCGGGCCCGGCGCTGCAGCCACTGCACCGCCCCGTCGTGCGCCTGCGCCGCGACGGCGCCTCCGTCGTGCTCACGCGCATCGACCCCGCCCTGCCCGCCACCTCCATGATCTTCCACGTGCGGCCGGGGTGGGAGGCGGCGCGCCCTGCGCTGGCGGCCGCCGCCTCCCACGACGTCTACGTGTGCACCGCCGCCCGGCAGGACTACGCGCTGGAGGCCTGGCGGGTGCTGGACCCGGGCGAGCACCTCATGTCCCTGCAGCAGCGTGCGTGCTTGTTTATTGTTTTGGGGGGGGATAAAAGATGAAGAGGGGAGGAGGTGGAGAGGTGGAGGGGGTGGGAAGGGCATCTGCCTGCTGAAGCCAGTGCAGCGCGAATGGAGGACAGCGACAGGAGCATCTCGCCCTGATATGCCCACGCAGGGCACTGCATGTACATGAGGCCGCCACACGCCATTGGATCTTGGCCCCTCCCCGCCGCTCCCAGAAACTCCCCTCAGTCATTCCTCACGCTTTCCTCTCCACGCAGGCGCGGCGCGCATCACCTGCGTGCAGCGCAAGAACCTGGCCAAGGTGGTGGTCAAGTACAAGGGGGCGGGGGGCAGCGTGCACAGCGTCATGCCCCTCACCGTCATCGTCGACGATAGGCTGGACGTGAGCTGGAGAAGAGGGGGGGGTGTATGGAAGGGGTCCTCAGATGAGGAGGACGGTGGGCCAGGCCTCAGTCGATTGCTACTGCGACGCTGCTCATCTCGCTGGTTGTGGGTCGGAGATGAGAGCAGGGTGCATGTGCCGGCTGGCGTGTCTCAGGCACATCAGCCGCCCACCTCTCTTCCTGATTCTCACACCCTCGCACATCCCCCTCGCCTCGCTGCCAGGTGTGGGACGTGGCCAATCGAGGCCAGGTGGTCCAGATCGAGCCCTTCAGACCGTACGAGGAGCGGGCGGCGGCAGAGCTGGGCCTGCCGGACCGGCCCACGCTGCAGACGCTGGACGCCCAGATGCAGTGGCTGCAGGGGGAGATCGCGCGCCTGCATGCCGCCATCTTCTCCCACATCGATGACGTCGCAAGGTGTGTTGTCGAGCGGTCGGGGGGGGGGGCGCTGGTCAGTGCGCGGGGGTGGGCCGTGGCGTGGGCGGGGCCAGGATGCCCCCTACACGTTTGTCTTCATGGCAGCCCTCTGCACCCAGCCTGGACCCCGCTGCATTCCTCACGGCCCTCACCGACCTCACACCCGCAGGCCGGCGGCGGAGCGGCTCATGTCGGGCGCGCGGCGCCTGAAGGTGGACGCCCTGGCGAGGGACTACGCCGATGCCATGCCCACGCCCACCTGGACAGAGGACTGCGTACAGGTGCCGGCGGGCTCGAGAAAGTGAAGGGGGTGCTCGTGCGTGTCAAAGGAACCATGGGCCCGGAGTCGGGGCAAGATTGCGCCGATTCTTCGGTGTACGCGGCCATTCTGTGCATGGAGGGGCAGCGTACACACTGCCTCCGCCGGCTCCCCACGGCCGCGACACCCCCCCCACCCACTCCAGAAAGCTCCGCGGCTGCTGGGCCTGGCCCCGGACCCCCGCTCGGCGTCTGGCACGGCCCTGGTGCCCCAGGACCCACGGCGTGCAGCGCGGCAGGGTGCCGAGGGCGCGGCCGTGGCGGCGGCGGCCGCAGGCGTCGGCGAGCTCAGCCTGCCGCAGGACCCGCGCCGGCGCGGCGCGGCCGCCGACGGTCCCGCCGCCAAGCGCGCGCGCACCGACTCCGGCGACCAGCCCGGCGACTCGGTCGGGGCCGGGACGGGCTCGTCGGGCCCGGCGCCGGCGCAGGCGCGGGCGCCTGCGCCGGCCCCGGCCAAGCCCTCCATCTCGCTCCCCGCCGCCGGGCTGAACCTGGACCCCAAGCTGATCGAGACGCTGCTGGCCATGCGGCGGAACAGCCCCGTCGCCGCGCCGGGCCAGTGCGCCGCGCCGGGGCCGGCCTCCGCGAGCCTGGGGCTCGTGCGGCCGCCGCCGCCGCCGCCGCCCCCCGCGCCGCCCCCGCACGGCCCTTGGCCCCGGCCGATGCGGCCATGACCAATCGCTGGCTGTCGGCGTTCGGGGCGCCGGCGCCCAGGCCCATGGCTCCAGCGGCGCCGGCGCAGGCGGGGCCTAATGCGCCCACACCCCGCGGCGCAGGTGCCGGCGGGCGGCGCCGACGCGCAGCGGCAGCAGCGGCAGCAGCAGCAGCAGGCGGCGGCGAGGGTGGCCGCGGTGACGGGCGTGCAGCCGCCGCCGCCGCGGCGACGGCCGCCGCCATCGCCCACGAGGCCGACGGCGCCGGCGGCCGCCCACCCGGGCCGCCGGGCCGGCGGCTGACGCGGCGCCGCAGCCGGCGCCGCAGCCGGACGCCGTGCACAGCAGCACGGCCCTGAACGCTCTCAGGACCCATTTCCCCCCGGCCACCAACACGCTGGACTGGCAGTCGGGCTCCACGGACGAGATGGGGTGAGGGGCGGAGGCCAGGGGAAGGAGGGTGGAGGGGTGCTGGAGGAGGCTGGCGTGGGGCTGGTGTGGCCTCGAGCCAGAGGGGCATGGGGATCAGTATGGCCTCTGGTCCATGCACACCTGTCGTCACCCACCTCGCCGAGCCTCCGTGCCACGCGATCGGCTTCACAACCGACGCACGGGACTTCCACATGCCTTCACCCTCCTCCCCTGACGCGCCGACACTGCGCAGGCTGTTCAAGGTGAGGCTGGTGGTGAACCAGGGCGAGTTCGTGGCGGAGGCCACCTCCGACGTCACCGAGAAGCTGGCCAAGCAGCTCGCGGCGCTCCAGGTACTGCAGCAGCTGGGGTACCGCGTCGACTTCACCCTGCGCACCCACGCGGTGCGCGGTGGGCGGGGCGGGGCGCCCTGGCCGCCCGGCGGCGCAGCGGGCGGGCGGGCGGGCGGCGGGGCCGGGGCGGCCGGGGCTCCCCGGTGCCTCGCTGAGGCGGGGCGAGCCCAGGTGGCAGGCGCATGCCCTGCTCCCCCTCGTTCGTGCATTTCATCTCCAGCCTCCCAAGCTGGCACCCTGTCCTTGCTGCCCCGCACTCCTTGTGGTTGTCAGAAAGGCATGCATGATCACAGAGGAGGGCGACGGCACGGCGAGTTTCGGCGGGTGAGCTTGCCAGGCGTCACTGGGAAGCACCCGCTGTTGCGCATGTCTGTGCAACACGCAGTGAGTCTGGACCAAGCGGGACTATTGCTGGCTTGCAGTGCAGGCAGCCCACCAGTGCCGACATGGCCCCATGTGGGGGGTTCTCGACCCCTCCCATCAGCGCCTTGCGCCTGATGCACGCCAGGCAGGAAGCCGTCTGCATCGTGGTCACCCTCAGACCGGTAGACCCCCGGCGGGTGCTATCCGATTCAGCACCTGCAGCGACACGCAGCAAACCGGGGGCTCAGCCAGCCTGACAAACACCGGTGCACAGCCAGGTGTTCCTGGTGCAGGCATGTGCAGGCGGCAGCTGGCCGACGGCTGCAGGCTGCAGCCCAGCCTCAACCTCCCTGGCCCGGCAAGCACATCCAAACTATCCACGCACCCCTTTGAAGGCAGGCAGGTCCAGGATGCCCCGCAGGAACGGCATTCTCCGCAGGAAGGACAATACGGTGGGGAAGAAAGCAGAGAAGAGCCGCCAGAAGCCGTACAGCTCCAGGAGGAAGCCTGGGAGGAAGGGGGCAGATGCTGAGACCGTTGGGGAGCTCCCGATGACACTTGGATGTACTGCCCCGTCCAAACCTTGCTGAAGCAGCCTCATGAGCTACTCGTATCAGCAAGCAGCTCGAGCGTGCCCAATCAACCATGCAAAGCGTCTGGCAGACCTCGTGCCTACTACCAAAGGCACACCTGGTATGGACCAGCCGTAGACGACGAGGGCAAATCCAACGAGGAAGAATGCAGAGCCCTGCAGAGGTGCAGGGCAGTGAGACATGCCCTCAATGCCTTCTGGATTCCAGACTTGGATTGCGACCCAGTGATCTGCATGCCACTCCATCCCAATTGCCCAAGGAGCACACCTAACACCCACCTTGTAGTTCTTGCGGCGCATGAAGAACCTCAGGGTGGCCCAGAATCCTATCGTCAGGGCCACACCAGAAAGGAAGAGAACCTGGGAGGGAGATACACTTGGCATGAATCGCGCAGGAGGGAAGCCTCGTAAGGTGGACTCGTCCACTCATATACTCAGTACCCGCCATGAGATGGCAGGTCAAGGTCCTAGGGAAAAGTCCAGCGTACATTTCCAATGGCCAGGAGACCTCTGTCAAAGAGGAAGATGACCCCGAGGAACTGCACCGCTATGCCTAGGCCTGTGAAGGCCACGCCGATCTCTGCAGGAGGGAAGCGGAAGCAATGGGAGCGTCCTTTTAGTCTGATGCCCCGCCAGAAGCCAGGAACTGGGAATGGCTCCCACAGCATTACACGCACTTCGCTTGTCGTCCAGCATCTGCGCCGATCAAGGGGCGTGTGCCCTATTCGCTCAGAGTTGAGATGCTGCCTTATAGGCAAAGGCTGAGGCGTCGGCGTCCTGCGCTCTGTGTCTGGTGTCCTGAGTGGATCGGCATCAGACCGCGCTTCGGGAATGCATGCCCACACAGTTCCTATGATATCAATATTGTCGTACTGAGGTATATATGAGTCTTGTACGCCAGTCCCACTTCAAGCTCTGTCTCTGGAGGAGTGCGAGCTGCGGACCTGCTGCGCGGAAGATCGCCGTGCGCTTTCGAATCATAGGAGCACCGATCCCGGCATCTGAGCCAAGCGAAAACGACTCTGAAGATGCTGTGCGCGGGCCGAGGCTTCATAGACAATCCTATCTGGCCTGAGGTTGAGTTGTGATTGTATTCTGTGTGTTCAATCGAGATTACTGTCGCTGTCGAGCATGTGAGGACAAGGGTCGCACCCCTGCCATGGCCGGGGAGGACTGGGCCGAGGGCGAGGAGCTGCTGAGAGTGTTTTCCAGGCATGCCCACACCATCCCAATCAATGGTGAGATGATGGGTTTGGATCATGAGTTTGTGGGAGCAGGTGTGCACCTCCCGAGCCGGCTCTGTGAGTCAAGCTGTGCTCCACCTGGTGATTGATTTGCCACCGCCCAACAGGGGATGATGTCGAGCTGCTCGACACACCCGCCGAGTTCTTCGAGACCCTTCTGGTATGCTGTGACGTGGGTGTTCCAGGGTGATCAGTCTGTCTCTATGCTGTGCACCGACCGGACTCGTCTCGTGGGACGGTGAATTGTGCATCTTGGCTGCCACCCGCATCCGTGGGCTTACCCAACCCTGCTGGTGCCATTCGACCGCATTGATGATGGACCTGCCAACTGAGGTGGTTTGCTCTCTTCACCTTCGCCTGTCAACTTCCGACCCAGATCGGTATAGGCACCGCCCAGCGATCTATCAGCCTTGCGGCTCTGTACATTGGCATCGAATCTCGGGCCGAGGCACGATTCATCGGGGCACTGAAGGCTGCGGCCGCCGACCCCGCGCGCCCCGAGCTCCGGCTGCAGATCCTGCTGGATGCGGCCCGTGCCACCCGCCCATGCCGGGATCAAGAAGGTGAGGCAGTGTACGAGCATGCTGTGGCCTATTGTGCAGCGCACAAGATGGATCGACACATGGCAGTGCCTTCCACAAGGTCTCAGCCCCTCGCATTGCAGGCTCCATCTCCAGCACAGCAGAGGTCCTGGCGCGAGAACTGCTGCTGCCCTTCGCGGGCGCCCAGCGGGCGAGCGTGGCCCTCTTCCAGACACCCCACAGTCGCACCTCAATCCGGAGGTGGGGATGACGAGGGGGAAGCGGGTGCAGCAGGGCTTCTCAGCGCCGCACCGCCGATACCTGGGCTGGACGGCTTGACGTTCTCTGGGACACCATTGACTTTGCGCATGCGCAGACATGGCACCTCACCCCAACATTTGTCACTGGGTCCCCCTGCCTCCAGCCCCTTCCCACACCAAAACATTCCGCAGGGTGCTGCCACCGCGGGTGCGGGAGGTGCTGGGGGTGCAGCACATCAAGGCCTTTGCCTTTGACGACGACGTGGTGCTGACGGGCGCCAACATCAGCGGCGCCTACCTCTCCGATCGGCAGGACCGGTACTGGGTGGTCCGGCGCTCGCCACGGCTGGCCGCCTTTGTGCACGGCCTGGTGGCCGATGTGTCCAGCCACTCCTTCCAGCTGGAAAGCACGGCGACGGGGCGGGGGCCCACAGATGCAGAAGCTGCCCCGCCCCCCAGAGCCGCCGCGCCACCCGCCCCCCTGGGGGAGGAGGAAGGCCTGTCGCGCGGCGCGCGGCGCCTGCTGCACCTGCGGCACAGGGGCTCCGCCGCCGCCGCTGCGACGCGTGGCGGGCCCCCGGCCCCGGGCGCCGGCCCGGGGTCGTACGTGCTGCGCCCGGCCCCCGTGGGGGTCAACCCCTCGCACACACCGGCCGTGTTCCGGCGCTCGCTGCGCTACGCGCTGCTGCGCCGCTTCGTCCCCGGGGGCGCCTGGGGCTCGACCCTGGACGGCGCCGCGCTCCGGGAGCTGGACGACCTGGCGCCGGAGGCGAGGGGCGGTGGGGACCCGGCCGCGCCGGCCGCGCAGGACACCGCGGCTGACACGGTGATCCTACCGACGGTGCAGGCCGGGTTCCTGGGCCTGCGGCAGGAGGAGGTGTGCAGCCTGGCGCTGCTGCGCCGCGCCGCGGCGGCCGGGGGGACGCGGGAGCTGCGCCTGAGCACGCCCTACCTGAACCTGGCGCGGGGCCTGGCGGCCGCGCTGGCGGCCGCACCGCGCCTGCCGCTGCGCCTGCTCACCTCCAGCCCCGAGGCCAACGGCTTCTGGGGCAGCGCCGGCCTGTCGCGCCACATCCCACTCGCCTATGCCGCGCTGGAGGCGCGGACCTGGCGCGCGCTGGCGCCGCCGCGCGGCCGGCCTGGCGCCGCGCCGCGCGTGCTGCTGGAGTACGCCCGCCCCGGCTGGCAATTCCACGCCAAGGGACTGTGGTACGGCCCCAGCGCGCCCTCGGCGGCAGGGCAAGCTGCACGGGGGCGCGCGGCAGCGGAGCGACCCCTGCCGCCCTGCTTCACCGCTGTCGGCAGCTCCAACTACGGCGCGCGGTCGCAACGCCGGGACCTGGAGGCCCAGTTCCTGGTCGTGACACGCAACCCACGCCTACGTGCCGCAATGGAGCGCGAGTGGGCCGGGCTGGAGGCGCATGCCGTGGAGGTGGGGCCGGCGCAGCTGCAGCAGCCGGCGCGCCGGGCAGGGCCGGTGGTGGCGGGCCTGGTCAGGCTGCTCAAGGGCTTCCTCTGACCTCTAGAGGCGCTGCTTGGAGGTGGAGGAGCAGCAGGGCTTTTGTGTGAGGAGCAGGCTCACAACTGGATGCTTTCGCCAAGGAGGATATTGACATGTTGTGCCCTTGCGCCCGAAATGTGCAATCTGTGCTCTGTCATTTCCTCGACACCTGCTGCAGCCCTAGCTGCAAGGGTCTGGGCGCTGTACAGCTATTCAGGCTGCATGGCCATGCATGCAGAATGCCCCCTACGCATTTCGATCCCTGGCTCCCATGCTTCCACCATAGTTGCGGGGTCTTTTTCATCAAGTTGCAAGGGAGCATGACACCCGCGGGAAGGGGGTGTCCTCCTGCACATGAGCAGGTGGAAGAATACATGGGACCCAAAAGGGGAGTTTGGCATGGCCTGACCTCTCCCAGGTTGCAGCACAGGAGGGTCGAGCCTTGATTGGTTCCGAGGGAGGGTCAACGGTGGCGATCGATCACTGCCTGGCATACAATTGTGACAGTGGATGAGCGAGCCCACCAGACACGCCCTCGCAGTGGTCAGGGGTAGGAAGCTACGAGGGCCTCGGCGGTCTACGCAGGGCTGCGCAACACAACATTCCGTCTCGCAACTTGGCATTCCAGGCGGGGTGCCAGCGCCACCCTCGTCCTCATTTGCCGGTCTTGGCCTTGTGCGCTGCCTTCATCTGCTTGAAGCGCGTGAAGCAGTCGGCCTTGGTCCGGCCGGGGACAAGGCTGCTGACCACCTCCCAGCGGTCGGGGACCTCTTTCCGCACCACCTTGAGCGCCTTGATCAGCGCCAGCTCCTGCGCCTCGGTCCACTGCACGGGGGCAGCTGCCTCGGGGGAGGCCGTCCCAGGCTTGCTGCCGTTGACTGCCGGAACTGCAGTTAGGGGGAAGGCAGGGTTGGGGGACTTATGTTAAAAGGGAGGGGGAATGAGGTTGGGAGACTCATGGAGCAGTCCGTGCCACCGAGTGTGCCTCTCTGCCAAGCGGGCTGTCCTCTGGGCCAAAGCATCAAGCCAAATGGTCGGAATCCGAGCAGGCGCCAGGCGCTGCCTTGGGGATCTGTCGACGAGGATCCATCCTCCGTAGAACTTCACCACCCACATATAGGCTGCCATGCACTCCGATCCCGCAACAGACTTCTGCCCTCCTTCCCTCCCCAACAAAAAGTCCTCCCTCTCCACGCACCGTCGACGTCAGTGAAGCTGGTGTGCCGCTCCGTGGCCTCGCTGCGGATGACGGTGTTGCCCTGGCGCTTGGCCGCCACCTCGTAGGTCTGGGGCACAGCGCGCGCAGCGTGGGCCTTCAGCCCGTGCTTGACCATGTCCAGGATCTCGTCGGTGGTGCGGGTGCGGACGTAGCCCTGCACCACCTCCCAGCGCTTGGCCGTCCCCGCCGGCCACTTGTCCAGCGCCTTCTGCAGCAGCCGCACCTCATCGTCGCTCCAGGCTGGCAGCGCGCGCGCGCGCCCCTCCGCCTCGCGCCGCGTCTCGATCTCCCGAGCCGCGGCCGCCGCGCGCGCCGCCGCGCCGCGCGCCGCCTCCTCGCGCTGGGCGTCCGTCTGCACGGTCGCCAGGCGCGCGTCCAGCGCCGCCAGGCGCTCCTCCAGCTCCGCGCCCACCCGGGAGAGCTCCGCGTTCAGGTCACGCAGCTGCGCCAGGGCCAACCCCGCGCACAGCTGTTCCACCGCGTCCTCGTCCACGGCGGCGTGCAGATCGGTCTGCGCGGCCCAGACCCGGCGCAGCGCCGCGCGCTCCTTCTGCGTCGCCTTCTTCTCCGCCTGGCGCAGCTTCCGCACCTCGGCCGCCTCCGCCGCCGCGGCCGCTGCCGCCGCCTCCGCTGCTGCCCGCGCCTCCTCGGCCGCCGCCTCCGCCGCCAGGCGGTCCGCGTCGCGCGCCGCGCGCTTGGCCTCGCGCCGCGCGCGCTCCTCCTCCTTGCGCCGCGCAAGGCGCGGGTCCTGGCGCGCTGCGCTCTCCACCAGCTCACGAATGCGGCGCGCCTCCGCCTTGGTCCCCTTCTCCCTCAGCTTCGCGTTGATGCGCTCGATCCAGCGCTTGTGCTCGCGACCCTCCGCCTTGGGGTCGTGAAGGGGTAAGTGGTGGGGGTGTGGGCGAGAAGCGGGCGGGGAACATGGGTGGGGCTGACGGTGACGAAAGGTTTCTGGCACAAGTCTCGTTCCAATCACCCTTCCAACCCTGTGCGGAGCCCTCGCAGAACGGCAGCAGGTCACCTGCCCATCCAAAAACCCACCTGCTCAATGTCCTCCTCATCTGGGTGGGGGAACTCCCTCCAGGACTTGAAGCCGTACCAGAAGTCGTAGAACTTGTCCACCTATGGCAGTGGGCGTTGATGGGGGCGATGCTGAGTGGCGTGGAGACCAGGCATGTCGCATGGGATGCTGGCCGAGCCAGCATGTTTCAAGAGGGCCCGCTGGCTAGGGGCTCAGCATCCATGTCGCCTCACTTGTGTTTTCCCGATCAACACTTCCCAACGTCCTCCAACTCCCAGCATCCACAACACAGCACAGTGGCTCGCACCTCCTCATAGCTGCTGGTGTCATCCCCCAACGTTGGAGCGGGCTGGTGCACAGCCCACCGGCTGTTGCGGGAGAAGGCCTGGCCATACACCGTGTAGAAGGCCTCTGCCGATTCCACCTCCCCCGGCAGCGAGTCGTCAAACTCGTCCAGGGAGTCGAACTCGCGGCGCTTGGCGGGGTCAAACAGGGTCTCATACGCCTCCTGGATGGCCTTGAACTTGTCCTCTGCTTCCTGCTTCCCAACCTCGTCCCCACTGGGGATGCCCTGCAGGAGGGTGGACAACAGGCCGAATGTTCAGATCAACCCAAGGTCAGGCCTCTGGTGCTGATGAAGAGCCAACTGCAGCCACCTGCTCCTGATGAGGCCATGTGCTGAAAACTGGGGAATCCCTGCATGCCCGACCACTATGCACTCCCTTACCTGTTTATCTGGGTGGTGAAGCAGCGCAGACTTTCGGTAGGCCAGCCTGATCTGGTCTGGGGTGGCCATCCACCGCTCATTCTGGAGGCCCAGCAGAGCATACAGATCGCCGTGACCCTTCTTCTTCCCTTTCTTCTTTCCCTTGCCCTTCCATTTTGTGCTGTGGGGGGGTAACGGGGGAATTTTGGTAAGGGGGGCGCCTACTGAAAGGTCAGGCCAGACTCAAACAGCTCAACCCTCTAGTCACGCTCGTACTCATCGAGCCATCCCACTGAGACCCGCCCCGTTGCCCCCGGGATTGCACAACCGGGGACGGCTGAAACATGAACCAAAACAGGAGCACGAACCCCGCCCCGCTCACCCAGACGTGGCCTCCTCATCCAGAGAGGAGAAGTCGTTCACGCTGCTGCTCCTGGACTTTGCGCCGGCCTCATCGTCTGCAGCGGTGTCCTCTTCCTCCGACTCCTCTGCGAAAATGGTTCCATCGCATGATAGGTGTTTGGCGTGTGCTGGCGGCATCAAGAGCACACACATGGACCCCAGAGCCATGCCTCTATCCCAGGTCACGGATCCCCAGCTCACCATGCAGGCCGGTCTGCTTGAGGGCGAAGAGATGGTACAGGTGACCGGCAGGCTCCTTCCGATAGCTCAGGGTGAGGGCGGAGAGGGAGCTGGTCACCACATATCCCTCCTCGGGAACATGACCCGATTCCCAGGTCAGGAAGAGGGCCATGCCGCCAGGTGCTGGTGCGAAATTGGGGGAGTTGCAGGGAGCCGCCCCTCGACTGTGGCGGCAGCGGGAGGGGCCCGAGCACCGACAAACTCGGTGCTTAGCGTAAAGGTGATGCAAGTAGCTTTTTAAAAGATGTGGAAATATAGCGCAGGGTATGCCCGCACTTTGGTGGGAGGTGGACCGGTCATGCACGTTCGCGCCTGGGCCCCCCAGCCGTGCCGAAGAGCGCGCACGAGCATGCGCGGCGTGCTGGGCCGGGAGGGTGTCCCCATGCTCGGGCACCTCGGCTCCACCCCTCCACGGAACCACCGCCCCTGGGCCTCATCTTCCGTCCCGTGAAAGCCCAGGTGGCAAGTTGCTGAAGGGAGAGGCCGGAGTGGGGATCCCCACGGGGTCTGGAGCCATGAGGCGACACCTGCTCACCGGGGGCTTTGCGCTCCTCCAGCGGGCTGTGCAACCCAGCGCCCGGCTTGCTGTGAGGTGCGAGAATGCCGATGAAAACTCCTTTCGGCGATGGTTCCTGGGCCTAGCCGCGAATCTCGACTGGGGTTGTCGCTCCTCTCCATCATTGCCCTCCCTCTGAAACATGGTGCAGGGATGCCAGAGAGCTGGCTTTGCCAGCTTGGACTCCGCTCCTCCGCGCCTTTGCCTCCCTGCCGCAGCACACAGTACGTGGGACTGCGTTAGGTTGAATGCATGCCACTTTGAGCTGCCCGCGAAGCAGCATCAGTGTCCTTCTGGCTTTTGGGGAACTGGGTCCCTGGTGGGTATGAAGCCAGGCACCAAGTTGCCCGCCTCCAACAACTTCGTTGCAGGAGCTGACCATGCCAGCGCTGTCTCCGACCATGGCGCAAGGCAATCTGGTCACCTGGTCCATCAAGGAGGGGCAGGAGGTTGCGCCGGGGGATGCGATTGCCGAGGTGGAGACCGACAAGGCCACCATGACGTGAGTGCTTGCAGGGCAGGGATGAATGTTTTTGGGTTGGGTGCAGGGCCTGCGATTGCCATGTCAGAGGATGTAGTGGGGTTCTTCAGAATCCTCGCCCCCCCCACCCACCCCCCACCATCACACATCCCAAAAAGCCAGTCAAACCCCTGTTCCTTTGCTGCCAGGTGGGAGAATCAGGACGACGGCTTTGTGGCCAAGCTTCTGGTGCCGGAAGGTGCGCAGGGCATCGAGGTGGGCGCACCCGTCGCAATCCTGGTGGAGGAGCAGGGGGACATCGCCGCCTTCAAGGAGTACGCAGGGCCCTCCAGCTCCCATGCGGGCGGGGGGGGTGGCGCGGGACAGGGGGAGGCTGCTGCCGGCAGAGCCCAAGCGGTCAGCGGTCCCACGAGCGACCGGCTGGGCCCCGCCGCCCGTATGCTCCTGAGCGGCAGCGGATTGGGCCCCGGCGACGTCACGCCCACCGGCCCGCATGGCATCGTCACCAAGGGCGATGTCCTGGCGGCCCTGGCCTCCGGTCAGGCCCCCCGGGCCGCATCCACTGCCACGGAGGGCACGGAGCCCGCCGCGAAGCCGGCTGGCAAGGAGGGCACGGAGGCCGCTGCCATGGCGCCGGCCGCCAAGGAGGCCGCCAAGCCGGCCTCAAGCGCACCCGCGCCTGCACAGGACCCCGCTCCCGCCTCGGGGCGCCGGCGCAAGACGCGTGGCGGGCACACCGACGTGCCCAACTCCCAGATCCGGCGCATCATCGCCGCGCGTCTCTCCGAGTCCAAGTCCACCATCCCCCACCTCTACCTCTCTGCCGACGTGGACATGGACGCGGTGGCGGCGCTGCGCGCAGGCCTCAAGACCCAGGGCCTGAAGCTGTCGGTCAATGACTTCGTGGTCAAGGCGGCGGCCGGCGCGCTGGCCGCCGTCCCGCCGCCACG